CCCCCCCCCCCCCCCTGGTTGGCTTGGGAGGCATGCTGTGAGCCCCGTCAATCAAGGAATTCTGGAAAGCAGGATCCAGAATCTTCTATGCTATGACTCCTGCCCTTTGGAACATTTTATTCTCTGGAGCGAGAGTGACTCTCATCCAACTGACCTTCCACAAAAACCTGAAAACTTGGCTTTGATTTGATTCTATTTATTGAATTTATAGGCCGCCCAATCCCGAAGGACTCCGGGCAGCTTACAGAAAATAAATTTTAAAAAATGAAGAGTTAAAAACGGAGGAAGAACAAATTTTTTTTTAAAAAAAAAAAACTACACCATGCACCCAGTCTAATCGGGGCTGGACCTCAGTCATGAGGTCAACAGCCCCAGGCCTGCCGGAACAGCCAGGTTTTGATAGCCTTTCAGAAGGCCATGAGAGTGGGCAGGGTCCGGATCTCTGGGGGTAGTTCATTCCATAGGGTTGGAGCGGCTACAGAGAAGGCTCTCCCCCGGGGAGCCGCCAGCCGACATTGTCTGGTTGGTTAATACTGAAAGGGGAAGGTAATTTGGATCTTTTGTAGATGCAGTACCTCCATTTTTTTTCTTTTTTAGGAAAGGTCCCTTACTTTATCCAGGTTTCTGCGCAAAACTGGGGGGGGGGATTGGGGATTGCTGCCATACCAAGTAGATTCCTCAGGAATATTAACCTTTTTTTTTGGCCTTGAGGAATTTTTGTCACTTAATTGGGTGAAAATGAGATACTCTGGATCTCTGGATAGCAATAGCAATAGCACTTAGGCTGAGATTTATACACCGCTTCGTAGTGCCTTTACAGCCCTCTCTAAGTGGTTTATAGAGTCAGCCTATTGCCCCCAACAATCCGGGTCCTCATTTTACCCACCTCAGAAGAATGGAAGGCTGAGTCAACCTTGAGCTGGTGAGAATGGAACTGCCAAACTGCTGGCAGCCGGCAGTCAGCGGAAGTAGCCTACAGTGCTGCATTCTAACCGCTGTGCCACCACGGCTCTTAAGCTGATGACTTAAACTGAACCATAAATCTCAAGTATCAGATGCAATTAGAATAACAGTGGCATCAGAACAAAGCTCATGGTGGCATTTCATATTATATAATAAAATTGTACAATGAATGCATCATTTCCTGAACTCCCGAGACAGACAAGAGTGTGATTGGACTTTTCTCTGTTTTGTAGAGCATCTCTTCGACAGCGTTCCAGATCTCAGTTGTCCAACCTAGTCCCGGACCATCCAGGATCAATTGTAGGATCTTATTCAGAGCACAATTGTAGCCTATCTCACTATGAAGAAGATGGAGGACCATTTGAAGAAGATGGAAGACCATTTATCAAGGTCAGTCAGAGTCACTGCAAGACCAAGAGAAGCTTCTGTTTTATGTTCCTTGGGTTGCTTCTCATCTCATGACACCAGACCTGGCCTCAGTGATACTTTTGTTGGGATCAAATGATTGCAAGTCGTTCTTCTGGAGACCTCCAATGAAGAGTCTTTGGAAAATGTAATTGGTTCAAACGTAGCAATGACAAGATTATTTGAGCGTTACAGGTTGGGATAAAATATCACCCTGTTCCTGTAAGTGCTGCAATGACTATTAATTTGACTGTAAAGGGGCTGTGGTGATATTAAAGGTCTGCATTAGGTTGGTTCCAGGAAGCTGGGTGGGGAAGCACAAAGAAAAGGCTTTCTTGGTGGCTGCACTTAAACGGGGAGGGGGGGGCTCTTGCCAAAATCCATGTTGATAACCTCACCTTTGTTAGAAATACTGCCAGGTGATTCCCTCAAAATCTAAAGATCTATAATGAAGCAGAGATGTCTGCTGGTCTGCAGGCTTTCATAAAAACAATGAAAGCAGCATTGTGCCACTATCTCACATCCTCACCCTTTTATGTATGTGTGTGGGAGATGACCCCGTGTGCAGAAAAGAGGCAAAGGCTTTGCATCATAATGTTGCAAGCTGCTTTCCTTATTTCTCCTCTCCTTTGGATTTCATCCTGAGGAAAAATTGCAGGGTGGGGGGGAGGGCGGTGATGAAGAGCCATTTGCTTTTTTCCTCGGGTAGTAACAGTCATGAATACTAATGTTTCTCTCTTTCCTTTTCCAAAGGAACGGATTCATGAAAAGGTTGAGGAAGAAGTCGCACCTGCTAACGTGACCAGGATTTTGAAGTACAACGCTCCAGAATGGCACTATATGGTGCTCGGATCTCTTGGGGCAGGCGTCAATGGGGCAGTCAACCCTCTCTATGCCTTGCTCTTCAGTCAAATTCTTGGAGTAGGTCCAATGACTAGTGTCCTTTGCTTTGTAATAAATGATACTGAGCATCCTATGTTGTGCAGGAAATGGTGTGCAATGGGCTGACATAACAATTTCTTTTCTGTTATTCTCTCTCTCTCTCTCTCTCTCTCTCTCTCTCTCTCTCTCTCTCTCTCTCTCTCTCTCTCTC